TAAAAAAAAAGATTTATTTTTTTCTTCGCTCCTTATTTATTGTGTTTTTTTGTTTATTTTCGTGTGAATTAAGTGTTTTAGTTTACGTTTTTAGGTTTGGTTTTAGGTCAACCGGTCTATTTTGTCGTGTTTTATGTATTTTCGCTTTTATTATGTGTTTTTGTATTTAGGTCGTTTTTCTTGCGTATTTTGGTGTGTTGTGTAGGCTCAATTGGTAAGTTTGGGAAGACGAGTAATTTTTCGAGCCATTTACAAACCACTCAAAATATTAGTATTATTGGTAAAGTGAGAAATGAAATCTAGATGACTAAAATACAAAGGGCCAAAATATTAGTATTTTTCGAGCCATTTACAAACCACTCAATTGGCCGTTTTTTTGTATTTTGGCCCTTTGTATTTTCGCTTTTATTATGTGTTTTTGTATTTAGGCCGTTTTTCTTTTTTAGTTTTCCCTTGGGAGCTTATGTCATCATTTTCCGGCGACTTTTATTTTGTTCAAGTTCCGAGCTTTTAACTCCGATTTTCATCTAGCACGCAATAGAAGATTGGGCATTTATTTTTAAAGTTCATTACTTCGATAATTGTCTCGTTTTTACTTATGATGATTATCAAGGTGAATTTGGGTGTTTGCTTGATGATGGAGGGAATGTTTGGACTTGATCATTGCTCTTGCTTGTTTTAGTAGGGATTAATTACTTGCCTATCTAGATTAAGGGTTAGGATTCTATTTAGAGCTTAATCACTTAGGTTAGAAGGTTAAGATTAGTGACCTAGTGCTTAAGACTTGCTTATTTCTCTTAGTTGAGTTCGTTCGGTTGTGATGGCATAGAGACTCCGGTAGTGTAAATTGTTTATTTTCTCGTTTACTTGTTTTTTCAATTCCGAGCGTCGATTACCATTAATTCACTCTCCAACCAATTGATTAGCATGTTTAGCTTTTATTTTTCCTTTTTGTGTGATTTGAACAATTGAGTGGCGAACGAAGCTCCGAACCATCTTCTTTTGAGAACGACTCGAGGTCGGGTAGCTCGGTTACCAACTACCCACAAAATACTACAAAGCACTCCTGCGCACAAATCCAACAAAAAACAAAGGTTTTTTTTTTTCTTTTTTTAAACCGAACTCACGCAAAACCTCTCAACCCTCAAAAAAAAATATACATTTTTTTTTAATTGCTCGACTCACACGGATAATCAAGAAATAAATATTTTTTTTCCATAAACTCTCAAAAGATCAAAAGAAAGAAAAACTAAAAAGATAAGGAAGATACACGATCAATCACTCTCAATAAAAGCACCAATGATGAAGATCGTGTATCTGGACTCAATTTTGTGTAAGAATCCACGCTAACGGTCTTGGTTCGAACACAATAAAATGTATAAACTCGCACTGACGGCCTTGATTACACATTAATAAGTGAAAAACATGCACTATCGGTCTCGGTTTTCCACAAAGACAGTACTCGGAAACGAGCCTTTTTCTTAAACTTTATTTCATTAAACTTTTTTTTTCAATCATGACTACATGCATTTTTATAGCCTAAATCTAAACATTAAATGTTCAAATTGTAACTAGCATATAACTAACCATTCAAATATTTAAATCTATACTTACATAATAAGAATTAACATTTATCAAAATTAGTAACTTAATTAATGGTCAAAGTCAGTTTTGCATTAATTACTTTCCAAAATCGGTAACTTTTATGTCCTTTTCACACTTCTCATTAATTATGTCCTTTTCACACTTCTAATTAATTATGTCCTTTTCACACTTCTCATTAATTATGTCATTTTCACACATTTAATTAATTCATTAATTACGACATAATTATCATAAATCATTCCATCTGAGCTTTTACCGTTAAAATGTATAGCGATATGTTATGACCTTATCCCATTGATATTTCCACGAAGTGTCCTTATCGCGTTCTATTTTTTGGTAACCACTCTATATCAATAACCGGATATTTGGTTAATGATAGCACACGTCTTTATTTCAAGGAGCGGATATTCTTTGACTTTTAATTAATCTGAACTGATTGCCTTGACTTTTCAATTTTTAAAAACTCTTTTGTTAAATATTTCGGCTTAAGATTCGGATTTCATTATACAAGTCATCGGATTGTTTGAATGAAAATGAATGAAAAGAACACAAAAAACAGGTAGCCTTATTCATATAACCAATCCTAAAATATTAGTTTGTTCACCAAAAAGAGACAAATCCTAGAAATCCTAAAATATTAGTTTGTTCACCAAAAATATTAGTTTGATTTTTAGGATTTGTCTCTTTTGAAAATATTAGTTTGTGATAATGAGGAGTTACCAAATAATCAAACTCATAATGTTGTGTACAAGGAGGTTTTTAACAATATATGATTGTTACCGAACTTTTTATGATTCAACAATGTTCCTATGTATTTTAATGATTTTAATTTCGATCCTAATGCACGTGAGGTTATATTATTCTTCCAAATTTTACATCTCGTGCATCGCACGGGTTACGTACTAGTTATAAACTAACTTACTAATCATATCTAAATACTTAACTACATAATTAAAATTAATTACTCCCGCTCATATACTTCATTGAGCCCGAATGCTCGGTTCGCATCAATTTGACCGTAGAAGGACGAAATTGTCATTTTAATATGCCATGTCGGCATCCCGATGACATAACCGATTGTAGCCGATTAGATGACCGAAATTTTCAAAAAAAAAAAAATTCCAAATAATGGACCAAAGTAAAAAATGGACGGGAGTAAGGGGAAAAAGATCTTTTTAAGGGAGAGCCCTAATTTGAACATACTCGATTCCTTGCCCACCACGATAATTTGCGGTGATGGATGGAGAATTTGAGTTACCGGAGCACATAATCCACCGCATAC